AACCTTTGCAAGATCGGGAAGCAAAATAAAGACCATGCGGTTTACGACGCATTCATCATTTGATATTAACCGCTGATTATGTAATGTTTACTGTAGGCGCAAGTGTCTATCGCTAGCCCACGAAATCGACTTTCGCCTTCAGTATGTACATGTATGGCACAGGGACTCCGAAAGGTCTGCGAGATTAGTGTCGCTGCTCACTTCGTTCGCAGCAATTATAAATGTAAAGCGAAAGCAGGAATGCGTTACTTTCACTTTAATTAATGCACTGTTCAAAACTGTTTATTCTCACGATACGACATTTTTTTCCTGCTCTCTGCAACGACTTCAGAACGATAGAAATTTCGAGCAAGAAAAAAATCTTTCTTAACTTTTTTTCCAAAATAGCCGAATTCACGGTCCTCGGGATGTATTAGGCTGATTGCCTCCGTTCTCGGTATGTAACTCTTACATTGTTACCATTTACAAGCACTTTACTTTCAAGTACCTAAACTGTCTGATTTCAAGCTAAGTACCACCTTCATACTTGAAAAGATCGAAAAATCTACTTAAATATTGATATCAATGGTTTGATTATCTTAAAACATGTATGTAGTTGTCTCTAGCTTAGTTTTTTATTCAATAAAAAACTAAGCTAGAGACAACTGAATATATGTTTTAATCATGAATCCTAGCTGCAACAATCATATTTTTATTGATTACATGTATCTTAGTTCTTACCTAAATACTCTATCTGCGTTTTTCTAACGCTGCCTGTACGACTAAGTGCAAACATTTTATCGTAACCGCAACAACGTACAAAAATACATTTATATGGGTACTTTTTATGCTCAGAACAGATCAAAATTACATTAAATAGACTTTGCTGTCACAAAGGTTTACGTTGTAGATCAGCGCGCGTTAAAAACTAAACTGGGTCAAAAGTGGAATTTGCATTAAAAGTTTTGATGTTTTTGTACCTCGTTTTAGTGAAAGGCCAGTAGCTGAGGGGGATAAATGGGGAAACGCCGGCACAGGTCCAAATGATCAACATTGCCGTTAAAAAATTGAAGATTACAAATATTTCATTACACTTCTTGGACAACAGAAATACTGAGCATTTTCCTAAAAGGACTAAAAGGAGAATTGTATTTGAAGCCAGAGTTTTGTTTCTGATTTTTGTATTTAAGCAAGCGCTAGTACGCTGTGCAATTTTCTCGATAACTTGTCAGGGTTTTGATATGGCAAATGAACGACGAAAAAATATCTTGAACAGCAAAATGAAATTAGAAATTTTTTTATGTAGGCTTTCATTTTGAATTTTTTGCAAAATTATACAAATATATTCAACCCAAACAACTTCACTCAGAAGGTCAGCAAACGACAATTTTTTTCATAATTACGTTGTTTTTCAAATTCTCAATTTCTCTAAATGTTTTCTTTGACATACGGCATCAACATAAAACACTATTCACTGCGACCGAGTGATTGAAAAAAGGTTTGTGCCGAACCGCTGTTTCTCCAAGCAGACTTGCTCTTATGAAATCAATATATATCTTTTATTCATTGTCGCATCGCGATTAAATACGAGTTTCAAGAGTTACTCGTCTAACGAACTTTCATTCTGGATGTGAATTCTCTCGATGTTCTTTTCAGCAGGAATTCATAATTAGACGGATAAATGTGGAGGTTCGTATAAAAGGCTTGATATGGGAATTCTGTTTCATTACTAAGATGCAAAACATTAAAACCGCAGTATTTTTGCATACCAGGGTGACTTGGAAAACGTTTAATTAATTTTTATCCTACAAGCATTGACATCCTATTTCCATTCCATCCTAGTTTTCTTTTTACCTGAAGCCCATCATCCAAACCATTCTATTATGAATTCGTACCTAATTTGAACATATTTCCCCATTAAGTTCAGGCGGTTAAGCGTACTCGCGTCTACTATGACAAGCAAAACGACTGGTAAATTTTGACGAGATTTGAGTTCAAAACTCGCTTCGAACCGAATTCACAGCAGGGTAAGACAATCGTCATCGAAAAGTAACTCGTCTCGTACGTGAAACTCATCTTAAGTGAACACGGTCGTATACGGCTAAGGGTCACGAAAGCATGTTCGACAACACTTGGAGAGAAAGGAGCGGTTGCATAGGAGACTGATTTATAACTAGCAAACAAGATCCTCTGAGATCCTATGTTGAGACCTTCAAACTAATTTAGAAGTTAAAACTTTCAGTTAACCACTCAAATCGCGTAGTAATGGAAAACCAAGTCAGTCTTCAATTATTTCACGTATTTCTATACAGCAAGCAGAACACAAGCTGTGGACGTCGTGCATGGCTTTTGGTTATCATTATGCAGATATGGCTTTTATCAGCAGGTAAAAAAGAGACCCTTTCAATAACAACCAGACCAGACATCGCGCGCTCGCTTATTTTCGTTAGCCATGAAAATCAGAAAAAAAGAGACCATTTCAATTACTGCCACACATCGCTTATTTACGTTATTTTAGAATATATTGTTATAAATATTCCGTACTCTTGTTTGCTTGTTGTTGTTGCTTTATTATTTTCATTTGTTTATTTATTTTTAACCAAGGATGGCTACCAAATTTGTCACGCATTAGTTAAAAATAGACAAACAGACAAGAAAAACAACAGATTTAATGAAATGAGACCTTTTTAGTCGTACTTAACTTTTTTCGCGTAAAGTTTCTTAAAAAAATCTTCAGTTAGACTAACCGTGATTTGAAAAAAAATAAAATTAGCCACAGTCTTGAAATCTAAACGAATGTGAGTCGTGCTACGTGCCCCTTTGAGATCCTGTATGTATAAATAGCATGATTTTTATGCTAGAAGAGCTTTTGAAATAAAAGGAAGCGCCGTTTATGAGAATAGAAAATTCTCGCAATCAAAACATTTCAAAATATATACATTTACCATCAAAAACTGAGAAAATATTCGATTGCGAAGCTATAATAGAAATCATACCATGTTCTTTTTACAATGTCAGAAAAATAATATAATAATAGATAATATAATAATGCGAAATAATTCATAATTTTGACATGAATTGTTAAACTGCTGTTCATTTGAAAGCTACAGCAAACAGTGCCTGAATTGGTTTTAACCGCGAAAAGGTCAATTCCAACTGTAACAAGAAATTGAAATTGACACTTTCGATATACTGTTTCGATATACCGTACCACCTCGTGGAAATGTGGTTTCCCGTGTGCTGTTCTTCACTTCTAAAAATTTCAAGTCTGACAGTTTCAATTTCTAGTTTCTAATTTCAATTTTTAATGCTTTTAGACTCTTCAACTAAACGATATGATATCGCTTTCTGATAGTCTCAATATTGCCACTAGATTGTTAATAGAAATATATACAAATCTGTGATTTACACTGAATAATTACATGAAAACAACTTATAACATCCCTCACATGTAAGCTTGTGTCTCAATACATTATATTTCTGTAATTTCTAGTAAACTGTTCTCGTTTTACTTTAATTCTTTAGGAACTAACGCAATGACCTTGAAGATTTAGCCGTACGTATTTAAAGTGTACATGGACCATTTTAGAAAACATTTTTACCAAACGGCAAATATGATGCTAAGCATTTTTTTAAGAGAAAAAAAAATATCATTTTAAATGCATTTGAAAATGCTAATGAAGTGACGTCAACCAAGGAATTGTGCTGGAGATTCAAATTTTCTTAGTTTGCGGTATCTTGCGTTTGGTTGAAATGGTCAGCAGTAATACTCAAGAGCTAGAGATGTCACTTCCGATCTAAAAAAAGAAAAATGCCTATTAAATTGCATAATAAATCATTCCTTGATCGACGTCACTTAATTTGCATTTTCGATTTCCAATTGCTTTTTAAATCAGAAAATATAAGTTTGAATATTTTTTTTCCTTTGCAGAAGTGCTCAGCAGATTTTCTAAGAGTGTTCATGTGCACTTTAAGGACACAACAACGAAAATTTTACTCCAATAAAAAAGGAATAAATTAAAAAAGACAATGGAAGATCCCTCAGCCCCACTCTTAGTGTTTTCTCTATTTTATGTACTTTTTATGAAATACAAATTCTCTCTTTCTTTAAGACACGTTTTTGCAATATGGTGTAACAAATTTGATATTATAAATACTTAACATAACCTGATCTAAAATTTTACACTTTTATATATTCTATTTACTGCAAAAATCAGCTGTAGTCTTTTCGAGTAGCAGCACAAATCTGATCAAGGATATTTAAAAAGTTATAAGCTAGACTCGATACATACAGCTGTCCACGTGCAAAGTTTCATGCTAGAGTCTCTCTCTCTCTTGATTGCTATGCTAGAATCAGTTACCGAGACTTATAAGGTTTACTACAACAAAGACAAATAAAAAAATAAGGACCCAAAGATAAAAGTATGAAAGGATAAAATGGCAGCTTTGTCATGTTCATAGATTTCATGTGGTGTTGTCAAAGCGTGTGTAAAAGAACCGTGTGCACTCAGTAGTTTGTTATATGACTAGGTTTCTGTGTATAGGCTGCAGGAACAATTCAAGATATAGTCTTCTACAGGAAGTCCAAAAACACTAAAACCTTGAAAAGGTTAAATATACATAGCGCTTATTCTACTGATGCATTCCTGTGACTTTTATTGTCTAAAACACACTATTTAGCAAGAGTACCCAACGAAACCGTTCCACAAAATATCCGCTCCACATCCTTTTTTTGACTGGCTGGCAAATTGAATTTTCATGTTCCTGGCTGGGAGATTTTAGACTTTAAGTCCACTGCTGGCTGGTAATTTTCACTTTGTACATGCGCTTTGCTGGGATCTATTTTTTCTGGACAGTGTATTTTAACACTCTTTGTTGACATTATATAAAAACCTTTGACAGTTGCTATAGTGTACCGAGTTCTCAGGATTTGATTGGTACTTGGTAACCTTACTGACCTCTGGTTTGAACTAGTCGGTTGTCTGAGTCGGTTGAATGCTCACCGGTTAGGCTGTTCAAGCAGTTTCGAAAAAGGCGCCATTTCTTTTAAACAAATTCAT